TTTGTTTGAGCCTGCGCACCGAGTAAAGCATATACATAAGATCTGATCGATTCGTTGATCTTTATGATTCCCGCGGGGGTAAACGAACTCTTGGTGGGTATAAAATCTAACCAAGCCATTTTGACGATGTCGTCTTGTTCGAGATAACCCTTCCAATGCTTAAAAAAAGCATCGTGTTTTTTTGGATCGTCTAAACCCCAATTTTTATCACCCGTGGGGTTGATAAAATCGTCGAGTGTGGTCGTGTTTTTATCATAGTCTAACGGCAAGAGTAAAAACGATTTTGTTTTTTCGTTCCAAAGAAAAAGCCGACCTAAGCCATAAGTCTTTTGATCTCTCGTCTGTTTAAAAGACTTATTTTGATCGATGGCAAACGTCCGACAGATGTTGGTAAATGCTCCACGATCATAGGTGTTGCTGAGAGCGTCAAACGAGTCTTCTCCCGGTATTGCTATGGCCATGTCGTTTAATATCCTTCTCACCGTAAAGTATAGATGAAAATTAAATAAGGCTTTAACGTAACGGTTGTTCGAGTTTAAAATATCGATTCCAACACCACAGCCCGTTGTAGCGCAATAGATCGCAAAGTTTAACTGATTTTGATAAAAAGACATGGGGTCTATTTTCCAACGAAGTACAGCATCGTTGGTATTGAGGCGAGATATTTTATAGTCCGAGATTAAGTCGGGAAACGGGGTTAAAAACGTGTTAGACGCGTTGACCGTAATCTCGAGTTCGCCAGTGAGATACGGACTGTCTAGTACATGCGCTGGGGTGGTAGCTTGTCGTTTAGCTACATTTTGATTTACTTGTTTCGTTACCTGATCAGCTATCGATTGTATCTGCTTTTTTAACGACTTAAAATCACTCATTATTTTAGTTTCAGTTTTAATATAAAAAGACTTTAAAATAAATGCATTCGTTTCACTTGTTTCAAAATGAGCAGACGTTTAAATTAGAAGACGTCGTAGATAATTTAAACGGTCAAAAATATATACGCGTAAAAAGGGTGTTGTTTAACGCCGGATATTTTAATATTTCCAGCGCCACGGAGATTGATTGGTTTACGCAAATAGATGGGAGACCCGCGTTTACCACGGATAAACCTCCCCTCATACCCGCGGAGTTTCTTTCAGATGTACACATAAGAACGCCGGATAGAGATTTTATAGAGCGATTGTTACCCGATATACCATACCACTTTTTAATTAACGATGAAAATGTTTTACAAAAAACTATAAACGATCTTATAAAAGCGTACGAAGACGATAGACTAGAATCCGTTTTAGAATCAAACAAAAGAAAAAGAGCTATTATAGCTGAACGGCGAGGGTTGATTTTAGCCGCCATGTCTTCAGAAATACCAAAAACTGAATTAGAACTTAATACGCTTCAATCTTTAGTAAGATTATTATATGTTAGAGAAAGAAAAATCTTTGAAGGTGAGGAATTGGCTTCAAAGTTTATTGAAGGAGAAATGGGTGCGAGCGAGTTGAGCGAGTTGAGAGATAGTAGGGAAGCAGGGGTAATTATAAGGGGAAGTCTTATCGTGACGGGTGAGGATTTAGATTTTATTCCTCCGAGTCATTTAGAGCCGTTGCCACTCGGAGTCACCGGTTCGGTCATCATAGCACCGGGGTGGTACGACGTCGATTGGTTCGATTTCATTTTAAATTCTATACCCGGGGTAAGTTTTCGAATATTTAGAGAATCTAAAAAGGTGACGTTGGTGATAACCGACGTCAATCTCAAATTGCGCTTGAACAGAGAAGTATCTCGATTACTCAATTTACCCAAAGGAAGACTGATACCCAAAGTGGTATATACGGGGTCTTACGACGTTAATCCGTTTAAATTTTTGTTTATTCACTGCCCGCAATTAAGTACGAGTGAAAACTTTTTTAATGGTCGTCCTTCTGACATCTTAAAAATCGTACCCGTGGCTACGCGCAAACCCGATATTGATAGAGCCGAGGGATTCAAAAATCTTAAAAACGGTATAATCGACAAACTGACATTTTCTATCAGCGGTGAAAAAGGACAGGTATTCAACAACAAGGGTGAGGGTATCATTATCGAGTTGGAGATCTTTTAATTTTAAAATCTTTTTATATTAAAAACATGAGTGTAGATGGTAAGGCGTTATACCCCGATATTTCTGGAGATGTACTCCGATTAAATAGTAACGAAGAAACAAAAGTGTACAGACTTAAAAAGATTGAAGAGATTCGATCTTTAATCTTGAAAGAGAGAGACCACCGAGAGCGCACTTATAAAAAAATAAAGAGAATGATCGACACTATTAATTACGTAGAGATAGGATTAGAAGGATTGGGGACTGTAGCGGGGGCTGTCAGTATACCCGCTCTCTTGGGTGTTATATCAGCCCCCGTTGGATTGGTGCTAGAAGGAACGTTTATAGGCGCTTTTGGTGTAGATATTCTGCTTAGAATCGCGTCTAGGCGATTATCCGCCAAGCTAAAAAAGCACGACCAGATTAAAATATTAGCAGACTCCAAACTTAACACGATTGAAGAATACGTGTCTCAAGCCATCAACGACGGAGATATATCGCACGAAGAGTTTATATTGATTACGAGAGAGCTCGCAAAATTTAACGAGCTTAAACAAAAAATTAGAACAAAGACCAGCACAAAGCTTCAAAAAATTAAAAACGATACAGACTTTGAAAAAGAAGTTAAAAAACGGGTAGACGAACGGCTGGCAAAAGAAAAAAAATCTCTTATCGAAAAACTTACAAGTTCAAATTCTCGGTAAATAAACATTATGAAAGCGAACCACCGAGTTATACCTCTATTTCACCTCTTAGGGCTACCCCCTCGGCCCCGCCTTTATTGTAGTGGTCATCGTATATTTTTAGTGCTTTATTAAATTGATTTTGAGTCACTTTAAATAAATCTCTAACTCGTTCTTTGTCTAATCCAACGACGTGATGATAACACGCCGCTATTAATGACCGTTTGACGCAACCATTTCCCCTCAATGTTTTGTAATTAACGAGCTCGTTATATTTATTGATTGTTTCTTGGACATCTTCTGAGTCTTGCTCTGGACAAACAGACAAAATAAGTTTCTCCACAGTTTTTCTTTTGTTTCTCTTTAAAGTTGACCAATTGATACGATCTTCTTGCACATTTTCTGCCGAAAAATCAAAATAACGTGAAACTATTTCACCGCACGTTTCACAAATTAAAAAACCATTCTCGATGATTATATGATGATCGCACTTATCCCCAAGTTGTGACGTCCCAAAGTATTCCATCTATTTAATAAAAACCGATATTATTTTTTATTCATTTTTCAAATACTCGTCGGTCTAAACATATTACTCTCCATTTTTATATTAAAAAACAGCTCCTCACCTTTTACAGGGTAAGGAGCTAATTTTTTTTGTCTCGAGTTTCAAGGTCACGTTGTGGTGACTCACACACGTTTCAAGGTCACGTTGTTTACGCCAAATTTCTATCGTGCCTCAACACGTTTCAAGGTCACGTGGTGGTGACTCACACATTTTTCAAGATCACCTCATTTTAGCGACGACAGATTTTTTTATTTTTTTTTCTCTCTCTCTCTCCCGGCGTCAGATTTTTTTTTTTTTTTTTTTTTTTCTCCCGGCGTCAGAGATTTTTTTTTTTCTCTCTCTCTCCCGGCGTCAGAGATTTTTTTTTTTTTTTTTTTTTTTCTCTCCCCCACACCCGGCGTCAGATTTTTTTTTTTTTGTTTTTTTTTTCTCTCTCCCGGCGTCAGATATTTTTTTTTTTTTTTTTTTTTCTCCCCCACACCCGGCGTCAGATTTTTTTTTTTTTTTTTTTTTTTTTTTTTTTTTTTTTTTCTCCCAGCGTCAGATATTTTTTTTTTTCTCTCTCTCTCTCTCTCTCTCTCTCCCGACGTCAGATTTTTTTTTTTTTTTTTTTTTTTTTTTGCTCTCTCTCTCTCTCTCTCCCGGCGTCAGATTTTTTTTTTTTTTTTTTTTTCTCCCCCACACCCGGCGTCAGATTTTTTTTTTTTTTTTTTTTTTTTTCTCCCCCACACCCGGCGTCAGATTTTTTTTTTTGAGATCGGGGGATTCCCCTATATTTTTCCCCAACTATTTTTAGAATCGAGAGCGGCGTGCTCAGGCTTGCCGCAGATTTTTTCCATTTTGCTCCGGTTCCCCCACCTCCCCTACTACTGCCCGCGCAAACTCATGAATATGCATAACAATCTGTGACGTACGACCTCGTGTTTTTGGACGTGCGTGCGGCGGGGCCGTACGTCCAAAAACACGAGGTCGTACGTCACAGACTGTTTATGCATATTCATGAGTTTGCGCGGGCGCGCCTGCATATTGCATACATTACAGCGCGGCCGCCATTTTGAAATCGCATGGGGGATCGCATGGGGGACGATATTTGTGGAATCTGATGACTGAAATTCGTCTTGTGGCCAGATAGATGAAAATATTGAGACCAAACAACGTTTTTTCGAAAAGGTATGAGTTGCTCTACGACTACAAACCTTAACTTTGGAAATTTGTGTCCTGGATGAAAAGATAATTGCGATCGAAAGATGTAGCAAAATCGCTACATCGGCGGCCAAAAAAATTCAGTCTTTTTGGAAGCATTCAGCGTCTGGCCGTACTACAGAGCTTGCGATAGTACTGTACGGCCAGACGCAGTCGGGCTAACGTTTTACTAGATTGATTTTAAGCAGTTAAGCCAAAATCTTGTTTCAGTCCACACTCTATTGGTTGCATACTGCTTGTGTCAATTTTAATGCATTTTGGATGTGTTGACGCTGTGTTGACGCTGTGTTGACGCTTTGGAGTGTGTTGACGCTGTGTTGACGCTTTTTAGTATGACCGGGCCCTAGGCCCTACACACAATGACACAGTGAGTGGACTGGCCTGGTACACAATTGAAATGGTACATAGCCTATACTACTATTACTAGCTCCATGACCTGTATGATACCAATCATTGAATTGTTCAAAACATTTACCAGTACAGAAGTGCCGGATCTTCTTGGTCTATGGATAAAAACCATTCAAAGTTGCTCAAAAGTTGTATTAAAGTGCCCATCTGGAACTCTGGAACTACCTTCGAAAAGAAGCGACGTGTCATTTCCATATACCAGCTACGAGTCACATTCCTGAACGTCATCATTGTGATTCATACCAAAGAGTGTGCTCAATTTCGAGTTAAAGAGCGGCATGTCGAGGCACCAGTCTGTTTTGCGGGCAAGTGCGTGGTGGCGCTATTTCGAGTGACCAGCGATTTGATGATAAGAGTATCGCGCAGGCAATGAAAGTGGGCGTGGCTTCGCTGATCAAAATTTCATCTACATGTCTTGTTTCCTCAAAAGTTGGTCACTACACTCTAAAAACAGAATGGTTAACATGACCAATCATTGGTTGAAATAACCAACTATATTGTTTAATATGTGTCCAAACAATTGTCGGTAATTTAACCAATGATTGGTTATTATTATTAACCAATCTTGTATGCAAGACCGCATGCGGCGGAAGGGCAGTACTTCGCAAAAAATACTAAATTTAGAGACTGGGGGGGGGGGGAATCGAAGAGCAATTACCATTAATAATTGTGTATGGCGGGAAAATGACCGCTGTTTGTTGCATCTAATATATAAATTATAAAATTGAGTTGTTACTTTTGATTGTGAGCTATAAGTCATGAACTAATTTCCATCGAGACGTGAAAGAAAGATAATTTGTACATTCGCTTACACACTGCGGTATGTTTTGTAGGTCTACTGAGGGCAGTTTTAAACACATGCATACTGCTCGCACAAAGTTATAAAAGTCATCTTTGCTTCTAAGAAAAATACTTAAAAGAAAATTTAAGAATATAAATGAAAGAGACAAATAACATATTAAGCAAACATTATGGTTCTTGAAATAATACTTGTTCTTAGAACGACTGAACTGTTTTCTATTCACCTGCTAGTAACTTTCATCCCGAACTTCATTATTTTTTTTTCCAATTGCTAACAATTTAAAAGTTATAGGCCTACACTGAGACGAACGAAAATATCCACCAACGTTTATAGTTATTGAAATATTTCTTTACGAAATTTGAATTATTGTCGGCCCGACAATCGGTTCTTGCGGGTTTTGTGTGCAAAATGAAAGCTCTGTTTTTCATAATAGGGGCGAAGACCGGCGCCCAAAATCGGATAACGGCAGTGAACAAAACTTAGAAGGCCCATGCAATGTCGTTTTATTGCAATCCTTGAAAATGCACCTTTGGGTTCCATTTTACCTGATTTTCAATTTCCATTTTACCATTCATTTTCAAGGGGAATTTTTGGCGCCTTTAATTTGATTTATATGCCTAATGCGATTTTCCATAGTCATGAGTAAAGGGGGTGATGATGCTACAACTTATAGGGAACATACAACATTTGCTTTTGCTGTAATTTTCAGAAATGGGTGGATTTGGGTGTCAGTGTATTTTACAGCAACTTTTTTGACATTTTGGGTTGACTTCGTAGATGCTGGAAAAAAGAGAGAAAAACAATCATGTTCTTGTAGTCAGGGAACCAGCCTAGCTGTCTTGTACCCGTTCACAGGTGTGTAATTGATTGCAAACAAATGGGGATAATCTAAATATGGTAAATTGGGAGCAGTATTTGAAGAAAAAAAATCCAGTGTGTTTTCCAACGCAGTCGGCCGACCAACGTTGGAAATTGCTAAAAATGCACTTTTCTTGAAAATGAGTCAGCACACCATGGTGCATGATGATTTATTCACTGACAGTATTTGGTGATAATTTGGTAGGTTTTTTTTTATTTTGGTATGCTTGCAAAATAATGATGTGTAATATTAACATTCCTTTAAGCACCAAAAGTTGCAAGAATTGTTGGATATTTTGCTGTTGTAAATTGTCTTTTCTTTGGTGATTTGTTGTTGTGTCGGTAGTAGGACCACGTGGCAGCTATAAGTATATTAAAGCCAATGATCAAACATTTCTCGCATACTTGTTTCCAATGAACACATTTTCGGGTTCACAATTTGAAAAAAAAAACCTAAACTGAACAGTGCCTTCCAAAAATGACATCACAGCAACAGCATCAATCAGTTGTCCGGAAAAGCATGGACAAGTTTTCAATGTTTAAAGAAGTGGCCTTTTCAATAAAATTAACCAAAAACGTATGTCAAATCTTACTTTTTATACATTTAACAGAAGTAGAAAGTTGCACAAAATGTGTGCCAAAGAAAAATTCGTCTCATGCACCAAGTTTAAGTTGCTCTCCCGGTATGTTCTTAAAAATGAAAATAAATCGATTTTATTCCTCCTCTGAGCCTAACGAATTTTCAAGTGTACAATTCTAACGAGATAGTATTTTCATTTTTTGACGTCTACCCTCTCTTTGAAAAAAAAAATCGCACTTATTAACGCAACAATATCAGGGCTGCAAATAATTCGCACTAGTACTGACCATTATGCACACTGCAACAAAAATTATATGCCCATTTTCACGGCGCATGTAATGGTCTTTCTTTAAGCGGGTTTTGTTTTGTTTTTGGGATTGATGTCAGAAAATCTCTAAGTACCCATTTATTGAAATAATTGTTGGAAAAAAATTGTCAACAAAAATCCGCCGGGGGGCGGGGGGAAGGGGGGGGGGGGGGGTTGGCAAAGTGCCCCCCCCGCCAAAGTGCCCCCCCCCCCGCCCCCCCCCCCCCCCCCCCCCCCCCCTCTTGATTGATACCCGATGGGTTTTTTTGGGGGGGGGTTACTATACACCATAATGTTGGAGACAGGAATCGTCGGAGGACGAACGGTAGCATTGACAGATCGAAATCACAGTATATTTTTGGAATATACGGAACATGAAACCGAGTCCTCATGCTTTAACCATCGATTATATCGAGAACATAAAAGGCTTTCTATGATATGTCACGGTACGTGATGTATATTTTGTATATTTTTAGGAGCTCGCGCGCACACACAGCGCGCTCGATTGATATGATCGCTAGCGCTAGCGAAGGGTGAAAGATTTCCATGACGTCAAAAGGATGCGACCGGAACCATTCTTCAGCTAGGTAGGTTCCACTGTCAAATTTTGCGAGGGGCGGATATACGCTAGAATAATACATACATCAACCATTCTAAAAATTGAAAATAATTTCAAGGAATTTCCAACAGAACAGGTCAAAATAAGAAGATAGTGAACAATAAAATGATTTTTTTCATTAATTTTCTTTACAAAAGTATTCTATTTCTTGAGATTTATTTCCGAAAAAAATGATACATTAAAAATGATATTTTTTTATTTCCGAAGTTCGGTGAATTAATCATCATACAACTAACACATATTTCTCACAAACTTCTTACAAAATGCTTGCAACTTTGCAAAATGAGCATGAAGTTGGGATCATGAGCACCGGAAATATATAATTACCATATTGCCCTTACCCCCTGTAAAAATAGTCTCCTCCAATTTGTCACGTGATCGTACACGCTCGTACGCCTGCGCCAGCTCTTTCGCGGCGAACAAGATGTCGGTGCGGTACGAAAAGGACGGCGAGGTAAGAATTTCTCACCAAATTTTCGGGAAAACAAGCAATTTGCACCGTTTAACGAACCATTTTCTTATAGATTATGTGTTTTTCTTGCAGGTGGTCTACATTTCCAAAAGTGATATGTTTATTTTCGTGTTGAAATATTCGTTTGCCGGTCGGCAGGTTTTGGTGTCCCTCCTTCAAAACCGGACCACGCATGTGTTCGTCTGCCAAGTATTGATTTTGCATGCTGCAAACTGCAGCCAATGTAATTAGTCAGGTACCAGGTCAAAGGTGGATCTTTTGCTCGAATTGTTCCACTAGATAAAGTAGGGATCGCGTTTTGAGGGTTGTGGACTTCAGACAGCTTCAGGCGAGTTGGTTTGTTGGTGACAAAAATGCAAAAGTCATGTTGCCAATGAAAACGTGATAGAAATATGTGCAAGTTCAGGAAGTTCACAACTAAACTAGGCAAGAGTTTGGAAAGAATTCCATACTAGGCCACCAACTCAGACCTCCTGCACAAAGTCTATGGGCCATGGCAGAAAAAGTTAAAGTATTTAAAAGAATTTTTGCACCAGTGTTTCTTCATCAGATTTACAACTTACAAGGCTACATTCGAATCGTTCAAAATGCAGTTAAGCAAGCTGTAGCCCCATAAATGTGGCCTATTTACTGGACTGCCTCCGTAAACATAGGCCACACATCCACATGTACAAAAATCGTGTCGACGGAGCCAAATTTTGATTTTCACATTTAGGCTTAGTTTGTAGGTTTTTTTGCTTTAGAAGCATACTCACCCTCTTTATAGGCTAATCAGAAAGTGCTGCCTTTTTCAGATGTATATTTTTCGTGAAATTTCCAGATTCATTTTTACACGTTTGCGTATCAAAATTTCAACATGAAATTTCACAAAAATTAGACATCTGAAAAAGGCAGCACTTTCTGATTAGCCTGTAAAGAGGGTGAGTATGCTTCTAAAGCAAAAAAAACCTACAAACTAAGCCTAAATGTGAAAATCAAAATTTGGCAAAGTCGACACGATTTTTGTACATGTGGATGTGTGGCCTATGTTTACGGAGGCAGTCCAGTAAATAGGCCACATTTATGGGGCTAAGCAAGCTGGAATTCAATATTCTGCTACTGTGATTAACTTCAGCTCCAAAGCTCATCAGGAATTCGACACACAGCTGGAGCTAAAACTATGTTGTAGTCGAATGTAGATATTTACTAGATTCTAAGAGGCCCTAAATTAAACTAAAAACGTGACTCTCTGTATCTGTATCACACAAATTGTCCTTTTTTTCCCTCTAGTTTCCCAACCCAGATTCCATTAATTAAACATAATGAGGTATGTTTATGGAATCTGGGTTGGGATTAATGTTGAATTCCTGATGAGCATTGGAGCTGGAGTTACTCAAGCTAGTAATATTCTGCACAGTTTTTTTTCCACATTTCTCTCGTTGATGGACATTCATTTCAAAGTATCTATGCTGTCTTTAAAAAAGTCTTAATTTTTGAGCAGGCATACTGAGATGTCAAGTGAGAAACATTTCCAAGTCGGAAAAGTTATCTCAACTCCACATAAACTTGTTACACCCACCACTAAAATTGGCATCAGGATAATGCATTCTTTCTAGGATTGTTCACATATTGTTTCCCAGGATACCACACTGCACACATTCAAAACAATTTGCATGACTTCATCTGTGCAATTCTCTTTCAAAAGTTCAAACATCAGAACAAACATGCTTTGTAATTCTTAACAATAACACAGTGAGTTAACACTTTCTCTTCCCTCTTCCAAGTTGATGATCAATCATTAGAAATATGTTGAAGAACACATGCGGCACTTGGGAAAAATTGAAACACTGATTATTACTAAGCAAATAGGGCCTACTTTGGATTTGCTTCAATCCCCAAAGAATTTGTACACAACCAAGAAAGCGGCGTCTAAAATGAATAGTGTATTATGCTGTTTCCAATTGTTGGAGAAAAGAATGTGATGAGAACATCACATTTTGTATTCAAGTTGCCAATATCCAGTTATTACATACATGTATTGTGCAAAACTTTACAAAGTGTATTTCACGTTGTCGTTCGATTGGATGAAACAAAATTTAAAAGTCTGAAGTCTGGGATCCCTTATCAGTGAAGAGGCTCAACACGTGGTGATCTCATGTGTGATCTGTGATCCCCCTCAATTCATGAGCAGGTCATTTCTTGGCACCTCTATCTTTAAGTACATATTAACTTTACCAGATTAAGGATCAGTGCCCCATTGCTTCTGATTGTTTCATCTGTTTAAACAACCCAAGTATAAGGGTCAGTATGTGTGTGTACAATATGAACAAAGTTCATTTTAAGGGGAGTCGTATGACTAGGGTTTTAAAGTGGTACTAAATGTAAATGTACAAAGTTCAAGCATTATTTGCAACAACAGGAAGGTTCCTTTAAACAATTTAAGGGTGGCATACGTGATGGTGACAAGTAGTTTCAAAAACTGAAAAAAAGCATTTAAACATATGTTTTGAGTTTATTTTCATAGGTTGCTTAGCTTTGTAAAAAAAAAAAAAAAAAAAAAAAATTCACATGTTGATGAATTTGGTGGAAAACAATGGCGTTTTTGGTTTTGTGTCACTGGTTTAGGTTACAATTTTGCATCGAGAGTCCAGAATTTTTGCTAAAAGCATGTCTGTGTGAACATATCAAGGTTTCTTACTGCCAGATTTAAATAATTCTTGGTTTCACTATTTCTTGCTGTACGACTCGGCTAAAAAAAAAGCAACCGAAGTTCATCCTATGGGATGGCTATACGTGGCCATCACGCTCAGCTGATCTGTGCCGAGGCTGTGCGCTGATGACACATTTCCTGGCAATTTGCATCATCAGACAAAGTTAAGATGAATATACCGTAGAATGAAAAAATCAGTTACTGGAGAAGTAAGATTTCTGAATGCTGCGTCTGTGTCATTTTTAACTTGTGGATAAACTACAGAGTACTGGCTATTTGTATTATATCGCAGGACCCATTTTTTAGGTTTTTTTTTTTTTACATTAGTAGCAATTGTGATGTAAACACGAAGAAGACTGAATCGGCATTTGTTGGAACACCACTCTTTGATAAAAAGATGTCTCAAACTAAGTGCCATCTTGTGAAATGTTCATAATCCAATTTGCAATTCGGTGAAAATCAGGTCAACCTTAACATCTGTGGCATAAATTGGAAAGCCGGTTTGTGGCAGTGAAGGAACTAGGAAGGCGTTTAATAATCTTTTGTTTCCCCTGACCCTGTTCCAATGTTCGCCGATTGAAGCCTCCCGCTCATTCTGACTAATGCAACGGCATTGCTCCAAATGAGAGAAATCTACTGTCTGTATGTCTTCATCTATCTACTAGCTGAGGATGTAACGTGGGTTAACCCTAACTCCCTAGGCCTTTTTGCTAGGATGTAGCCTCAATCCTGCAAAATCCTCCAATTGGCCTCATGGAAAAATAGCATATAGCCTCAATCCTGCAAATTCCTCCGCTATTTCTTGAATACGGTCCATGGAGGGGTGACCACTGCCTGAATCCTGCAAAATCCTCCGGCTATGACTGTCAATAGGCTGAGGCAGAGGCAGTGACATCCTGGAGCAGTGCGGAGGATGTCAAGTATAATCAAGGACTAAATTTATGCACGGCTGAGCATAAACAACACAAGGTCCGGCCCAAGACCTTGACACAGTGCGTACTCCGAAATAAGCAACCCACTTTTGCCATGTAACCTCAATCCTGCAAATTCCTCCAATTTGCAAAAAGGATTTTGGAGGATTCAGGGCGGTGAGGGTTAAAAGTTCAGCTTTGCCGGTACATGACTCCCTCAACGCTGCAGCATTGAGGAAGAACTGATGGAGTCTGGGAGGTCCCTTTAACATACTGATGAATCAGGCTTGTCTTAAAGGAAATGGGTGATTTTCGACTCACGTGTACATGACACGGGAGCCATGCAGTGGTTAATCACAGTCGTGCTACCCTGGTTCATGGCAGGGCCACTGCAAACTTCAACTAAATTTAGGGTCAGACGCGTGCTCTTCGATAAAGTGAACCATTCCAGACTAAACCTTCTTTGTGCTAAAGTTTGGCATAATGTGCGACACACAGTCGCTATCTTCATTCGTGCATTGTTTGTTGATGACGTACATGTATTAATCCACCATCTGCAACCGCTCAGTTTTCCTGTCTATTGCACAAGAAAGTATCACATAAATCTTCAATTATGCAGATTGAACAGTGTTATCACTATCGGTGTGATGACTCTTATTGAAAACCAACCCCGCAGTGCCTTTTGCGTCACATGGGCCCAGCTTCCAATCAATGGGATCAATAAATGCCCAGCCTCGTTTCCTGTGCATTTAAGGGGATTAACATGAGTCGCGAGACCAACTTCATTAGAAAAAAAAGTCTCTGCCGACCACGATATACATGTACTCTCAAATGACGTCATTTTGAGCGTCGACTCGCATAAACGGGCATCGACTGCGTCGTATTTGTACCACATTTCCAGCAACAGGCGCGCATGTTTGGAACATTATCAACACTGCGCAATGCGCGCTTGACTGGTGAATTTGTGTTCATTTATGGTAGCATAGCCGTGAAATTGGGTCCTTGGATGCTGCTGTCCCGTGAATTGTCTACTATCGCAGTACATGTAGCCATGATGATGTAGCTAACCCCTGACTTGCTGCTGCCTAAGGCAGTAGACAATAAGAAATCACTGATGCAGTGAAACTAGAACGAAGCGAAGCCTAGCCTGCCACCTTTATGTTCAGGAGAACCCTCAAAATCAAGTCCACACAGTACTGGCCTGCTGTTTAACGCTTCAGTGGCTGGGGCGATGCCACACCACATTGAATAGAATCAATTCTAAACTTAGAATGAGAATTGTGACTATTTTTTTTTCTTTCGTGAATTTGGTCCCTTCAGTCAGTAACTGACTTACATGTGTATGTTCACTGGAGATACAATTTCAGCAAAGAGAGGCTTAT